GCAACAATAGTATTTTTATTTATAAATTTTAAATGATTACACCTATTTATTTAATCTTACTTATAATTATATTATTCTTTAATCAACTATAAATTAAACGCTTGACTTAAAATGAGTTTGAGAGAGTATATATTTTTTTTAATTTAAATTATGAAAACTTTAAAAAAGTTATAAATTTTACTTAATTTTATAAAAATAGAAAATAAATTTATTTATTTTTATTTATAAATTTTAAATTATTACACCTATTTATTTAATCTTACTTATAATTATATTATTCTTTAATCAACTATAAATTAAACGCTTGACTTAAAATGAGTTTGAGAGAGTTTTTTTTTTTAATTTAAATTATGAAAACTTTAAAAAAGTTATAAATTTTACTGAATTTTATAAAAATAGTAAATAAATTTATTTTTCAATATATCCCAGTAGATTTTCAAATAAACCGGATGTTTCATTTATTTACAAAATAAAAATAAACATTGGCTGAAACAATAGAAAAAAACCTACAAGCGAGATTCGAACTCGCAAAGTTGAAACTATGAAAAAAAATGTTGCCACCCGGATTTGTACTTGAGAAGCGACACTAACTTGCGAAATGTTGAACTCCCTTAACCACTGAACCAAATCCTTTGCTTATGCTTGGGGAAGGGGGGGGGGGTCATCGTTAAGTGTGTATATATATATATATATATACTAGATAGTTTTCATCCGTGCTAAGCACGGGCCCAATATTTTAAATTTTGATATAATGTTGTTTATTTATATTTACTTTAGAAATGTGATTAAAATTTGAAATAACAATAAATACTTTTAAATAAGCATAATTTAAAAGAACATACTTCCGCCATTTATTGAAGAAAACAATCGGAGTACATTATCATTTTGATCAATAATGTTGGTAGAAAAATTGTCAAGCTTGATAAAAATATATTTGAATACTTATTGTACGTATTACATGTATTCATACAAAGGCAAGCAAATCATCAATGTAAATTTTCCAAATCAGTCACAATATTTATTTGACAAAATCAAAAATTGATATTTTTATTGTCTCTTAAGTTGTCGATAACATTATGTTAATATGAATGTCTATTTGATCAAATCATTCATATAAGGCACCATTTTTTTGAATTAGCATTTTTCCAATGAAGAGGGACCCTGATGGTTATTTATAGCTTCTTAGAGGAGTGTTTAACACTTTCTCCATACTTCTAAGTTCTATCCATTAAAATATTTTTAGAGCAGATGTGTAGATTATTCCGGATAAATCTAGCTAGGTCCATCACACAATGAACTCGGAAAATTGGGTTTCTATTGGACCAATTTTACCGACCGTCTTAACCTTCTAGACATAATTATTTGGGTGAGTGTTTTTTACTCCCTCCGTTCACTTTTACTTGTCATTTATTTTTAAAA